TTTTTTTTATTTTATGAAATTACTTTTGTACCTTTAATCCTGCCATTCCATCTTTTCAAAAGCGACACAATTTTATTGCACGTGTATAATGCAGAAGAGATTAAATTTTAATCATCATAGTAACGCATTGTTTTGCCAATGAGACGCAAAATACGTTTATTAAATTTCGTGATTAATTTCTAAAACTCGTTAATTATACAATGTTTCCATCAACAAAAAGAATTTACAGCTGTGAGATGGAATTTAAAAGAGTTTGACAATATTTAAAACAATAATGTCAATTTTTAATATTTTTAAATATAATGTTCAAAATAATATTGATGCAAGTGTTTATTTGAAATCACAGAGGAGAAAATATTATTTACAAAATCGTTATACGGTATTACTCGTTGTGCGTTGGCTTCGTATTTCATCGTGAATTTACTATTATAAATTAGAGATGCGTTTGAACGAAGCACAGTAACACGTCACATATATTAAACTTGACAATTTCTCTACCAGTATCCTCGTCGTTCGAATTGTACATAACTGCGCAACTCTTCGTTCCGTTCGCGCGATATTGTTTCACAACAATATTGTTAAAACGAGGAGAGAAGCTCGAGTGGCTCGTAACACCTAACAAGTTTAAAAGTCTTGCTATAAATTATATATTGCAGACGTTGAATATAAAAGAATATTTATGTTCCTCGTTTTAAGGTCGAACATTTTTCAAACCTACGATTACGATCTATACAGAATGATCTATGAACAATTTAATAACAGTGAACATTACGTTACTTAATTTGTGTGTCGATTATTGAATTTTCTATGTATTTTACACAATTTTACAAATATTTTGGATAATTAAACTTTACAGATTTTTCACAAATATTTCGAATAACTGAATTTTACAGATTTTTATGGACGTAGATAGTTAATACAGAGCGTTACGGAAATAAGAAATGTTTCACGAATAGAAATGGTTTTCGCGACGTAATAATAGTAATTTTACATCGTGTGAAAAGATATAATTATTCATGTTTTGGAAAATTAGCATTCCGCGCTGGTAATATTATTTCACGAGAGTGTGTAACCGTTATACAAGGTAGTTTCCTCGAATTTGCAGCATGTTTCTCAAATTCGTGTACTTTATGAGTTTGCAACTAGCAAAATCCTTTATAATAAACACGGGAAATTTTCGTACACGTCATTCTGATACCTGAGAGTGACACATTGGAGGGCACTTGCTTTGTTTCACCGAACGATTAATTTTAATCAATCAAGCATTGTGAACGTTAGCCTTTTCACACTGGAAACTTTTGCCAATTAACCAATCTGTGTACATTTCGCTAATCAATTAAATCCAGGAACACGTGTATGTTCTCAGCAATTAATTAAATCAGTTACTACTCGTACCGAACGGATTGCATTTTAATCTTCGATCCATTTCACTTCTATATGTACAGGTACACTTAAATGAATCTTTATTAAAAGAGTAATTTCTAATTGGCGTTGAAATTTCTTTAAATGAAAACTGGTTAATTATTGAATGTGTCGAATTGAGCGTACAGTTTAGTGTTTCTTTGTTCTTCTTTTTTTTCACAGATGTTCGTTATTTTTATGTGAAGAGTATCGTGCAAGAGGAAGTGTGGCTCTAAATATCTTTCTGTTCGAGCAAAATATAAATTATATGAGCGTGCTTATTAAACACAAAAATATAATATACATAGAAATATAGTAAACATATAAATACAGTATAGTAACAAACAGAAATAAATTATATATACTATTACATTAAGGAGTTTATCTTTAAGCTAGGCAAAAGTTTGGGAATTTTTTTCGTAGGTAATTATTAAGTGAAAAATTCCAATTTTTTACAGGATATAAATGTAACCTTCGGCTATCTTGTCCAATTTTTAAAAAGTCAAAATGTCACAAAATGGAGGAGTTATAGCGAAATCTCTTCTGGTAGAACATCGATAGCTGGCCGCCATCGTCAGCAAGGATTGGAATGTCTGAATTAGAAAATCCTTTCTGATTTATGAATACAAATGTATTACCTATAATGTAGCGTAAAATTTTTCGAAAATATCAATTATTACAGAAATGGTGGCAGTCTGAATAGGAGAAACCTCTTTTTACCGAAAAAGTCGACTTTAAACGTTTCTAAAAAGTTAAATAATTGAGATATCGAAAAAATCTTAAGCTGTATTGTAGATAATACATCCGCATTTATAAACCAGAAAGAATTTTTTATTTCAGACGTTCCAATTTTTGCCGATGATTACAATCAGCAATCGATGTTGTAGTAGAAGATATTTCGCCATAACTCCTCCATTTTGTAACATTTTGCTCTCCAAAAATTTCAATAAACAGCTGAAAGTTACACTTATATCCTCCCAAAAAATTGGAATTTTTCATTTACTAATTACGTATGAAAAAAATTCCCAAACTTCACCTATTTTCTGACGCCCCCAAAAAGAAATTCACCTATTCTCGTTGACTAATTTATTCGTCGCGTTGTAAAATCTTCACAGCTGCGGTATAGTTGTGGAAACAACGGTATAACAATTACGTTGAAAGAAAGCAATAAAGGGTGCACAGTTTTGTGCAATTTCTTTGCACTTTGGAATAAAAGAAAGCGTGCAACGGCAGTTAACGTTGTCATTAAAAGTGTGTTACAAGTCGCGGGTGGTTTTTCTTTTCAAACCGTACACCTTTCGGAGCAGTTGTCCCCATTGATTTTCACGGTGCAATAAGCGAGATTTCAAACTCAATTTACGTGGTGAAATGACGTTTCGCGTCGTCGTTTCCGCGTTGCTGTTGGAAATCGTCGTCGGTGTACTATGTATTTAGAAACGCTTTGACATCGAAATCGCGAACTGGATAAGTTACGGATCTTCCACTAACTCTTGCATTAGCGTCGCCATATTTGTGTTTCAAAGTAAATAATAGCCTTTACTTTGAAATCGACGAGTTTAAATTTTAACTGTGTTCTATATAATATTGTTCCGTAAAATTGCATTGCAATTAGGTAATTACGTATTGGCAATTTTTCAAAAATCGAAAGAAAAATGCCATTTTTTTCTATTCCTTTTCAATGTACATATTTTTTTCTACTGGACATTGATGTGCATTCAAACAAATAATGATACAACCTTGAAATGGTCTTGGACTCCAAAATTGTAAATCTTCCATCGAAAAAAATTTGTAATTCTCAATTGACGTAATATGAAATCTTCAAAATTACTTCTTCCGCAAATTTAGCACAATTTAACACTTTACTCACACGAAAATAATTCTATTCAAACAAGCTAAACTAATTAACGTCACGATACAGTCGTCGTACATACGTCCCATATAATTCTTAACACAAAACAATTGCCTAAATAAATATCTTCATACCCCGAGCCATTCACTATTTCATCAATTTACGGATTTCAAGCTAAACCAATACTAAGCTGATTTACGTTCGCGAGAAAAGCATTCGAATTAATTATGTCAAATTTCAATTATTATTCCTGCACCGAGGATTAATCGGTAAATCCTACATTCACCGAAAATATACCAAATAGAAGACCGAGATAGAATTTTTCCCATAATCCTTTGATACCAATTATTCGAGGATTCGCTGGACAATTGCTACCGAATCTAGAACAGAACGGCTATAAATGTTAGCAGCAAGCTCATTCTGTCTAGCAGCGTGGCGGTGTTCGTACGATTACGAATTTTGCATAGGAATGTCCATTTTACTTCGCTCCTAGTCTATATTAAATCAAAGATGATTTACTAGCCGATCAATTAGCTTGTCGAACCTACCGCGACGATACGTCGGTTATCGATATTGCTTGAGGCTCTCTGCTTCCTATGAAGATGGAATTACTGGGTCCAATTACTTCGTGGCGATGCATCATACCCCCGTCAACTTAGGTGTACCGACGTAAGCAGATTTTATGTGAATGCGGAGACACGCATCTCTGATTGAATTTTCACAGACCGTCCATTTTTACCGCGATTCCCTTCCTTTTTTACACTTCCTACCGATATCGTTCAATATTCAAACATTATGGTAATACGCCGGTTGGAATAATTACAGGAAACACATAGCCCACGTTGACGTATTTATATTTTATCGTTCGATACGGATTTTCGAATAGAAATTTTACATGCTTTTATCATTCGATATTCGAACATTATAGTGATGCGCTGTTGGAATAATTAGAGGGAATATAGCCTGCGTTTATGCGTGTGTTATATTTTTACACTTCGTATTTTTTATTATTTTTATCGTTCGTTTCAATTTTTCGTTGTTACATTATTTCGATGTAAGTCTCGGAATTGAGATTTTACTTCGACAGGTTGTAAAAATATATAGTAACATGTTGCAAAGTGTTCAACACAAATTTGAAAAGGTCTATAATGTGTCGTGATTAAAAATTAACTTAACCCTTTAACCTACAACTACGTGTCAGACTCGTGGCGGAAATTTTGGTCAAGATGTGAGAAAAATACTGATGTTAGTAAGAAAAATGAAATGTAAGTCTAACTTTCCTTTTAATTTGTAAAACTAAGGATTACTGAATGTAATTAATCTGTGATAGATTAGCTCTCGTTACTTGATACAGTACTGAAATAGTAAATGGCTGACGCTTAGATGAGGTTAAAGGGAAAAAATCATAGGTTAAAGGGTTAATTTCGTTGGAAAGGAAATGTGTGATTTTTGGTGGCTTGGAAAGCAATTATTGTTATTGCATATTAATTAATGCAAGTTCCATTGGAGGAGCCTTGGTTTACCTTCTTTCGAAAGTAAACGACAAAACTTGTCGATCAATCTGCTATTTCTGTAATTGATCTTCACAGTTGGAAATTATCAGAAAAACAGCGGTATTTACTTGATAACAACAAACCTATCAGTAATTTAATTTAAGTAAAAACGCGCCGATAAGTAATTTCTGTGTAAACATCGTGAAAATATTTTTCGTCGAGATGAATACTTAACGTAAATGAAATTCTGTTTGCAGGCATAGAAACAAAGTTTGCGGGTTCCAGTTGCAACGATCTTGTAACTTCCGACGGTGCAGGCTCGACGATAATTAGTGGCCATTTCGATCAAAGAATTCGATTTTGGGATACCAGAGCTGAATCGAGTTCGAACGACATTTTACTCGAAGGAAAAGTCACATCTCTAGATTTATCCCGTGGTAAGTTTTTACACGGTCAAATTTACTATTTTAATTACATTTGTTTCTTTGTGTTATTTAAAAAAAATTACTATTAAATAAATGTTCGCTTAAGTAATGTAATGCGACAGAAAAACGATACAATTTGGTGATATTGAATAATTTCTAAGACGAAGAAAGCTAGTAAAGCTTCTAAGAGCTAGTGAAGCACTGATTCCTATATTTTTCATTACTATAAGAGAAATAATATAACTTGAACTTGGAGAAAATATCGATGATTTTATGAGAATCTAAAATTTTCGAATTAAAATATTTCGAATGTCGAATAAAAGTAAAAAGAAACGAGAGAGGAAGACTGAAAAGCCACGTGGGGCAATATATGTCCTTGTCCATCATCTTCTTGACAAAGAAAAATGTGTCGGAGTTCGCGAAATTGATTATCAGTCATATTGTACACACCTTAAGTACATTGGATGTGGTACAAGAAGAAAATGTACAGACCTGTGGAAAAATGGATAGACCTCATATTATGAGACTTGGTAGAACTGAATCATTTGCATTTGAACATTTTTTCATATTCAACAAGTACCTTTTTTCTATTACTCAACACTATTTTACGAATTTTAAAAGGAACAAGTTAAATTGGGAAGAAATATGTAGAAATTTTATTATTGTATATATAAGAACACAAAAACGTGTGAAATGAAAATAAAATAGATCGAGAGTGATATTTTACGAGTGATACTCAATTTGAATTTTGACGATTGTAAGATAATAATCTTGATTTCAACTGAAATCGTTGAAATAAGAACTTTTAACACATTCGCTGCGACAGATTTAAAAAAATTGTCATGTGAAAATTTAAAATTTATCGCTTTTAAGTTTCTCTTGTTAAACTAAGATAGAAGTGCGTGAAGGACAAGAATTAAGGATTAAATGGCCAAGGATTAAAGGACCAAAAGGCGCGAAAGGCGCAGCGCGCGAAAATATTCAAACCGCCTATAGGCGCGCCAAGGTCCCAGCGCGCGAAAATATTCAAACCGCCTATAGGCGCGCCAAGGTCCCAGCGCGCGAAAATATTCAAACCGCCTATAGGCGCGCCAAGGTCACAGCGCGAGCAAATTTCCAAACCGTTTCTAGGCGCCAACGATTCTTCATTTCGCAGCTATCTGCAAATATTCAGTTAATTAATTCATTTCGCAGAATATTCGCATTATTCAAGCGCGTTTTATTAATCTCCATATTTCGACGATAGAACCCGAGTGAAACTGTAAAATTCTGCTCGATTACATCGCGCGACTCTAATGCTTTTCCTTTATCATTCACCGTAATACATTATGTATACTTCCATTAAAGTATAATATACCATTGGTTGGAAAATGTGGTCGGTAGATTTAGAATGAAACCTTTTCTCGAATGCCTCCCCATAAGATTTATACGTTCACGAAAAGGAATTACTTAGCGGGATTCGTCTCGGTGCATTTCAAGCCGCAGCAAACGTGTATTTCTTTCTTTCTATTTTTTTTTTTCTGCTCTCGTTCTGTCCGCCGTTCAAATAACAGGGCCCTCGCGGAAACTTCTCTGGCGACGTGATCGGAATGCAATCAGCACGTAATCAGCGATTGCTTATTATCTTTATTCAGGCACGTACGCAGCCTGTTCTATGGCTAACCGTATTAGCACAACCAATTTAACTTTAACATCAGCGACATGCAAATTCAAGTAGCGACACCTGCTTGTTTTCAGATGCAAATTACCTTTTGAGCTGTGTCAGAGACGACACGTTGAAACTCATTGATCTGCGAATGAAGAAGATCATTGGATCATTTAGGTGAGTCCGACATTTTCACCTAGTATTACATATAGTCGTGGCCAAAACTGTTAGGCACCTTTATTCTTACAACTTACTGGGAGAATGATTCCTTTTGAAACTTTTCTGTTGTTCGTCATACTTCGTCGGTTACGTTCGAAAGAATTTTGAAACAGTCGACGAAGTTTATAGTGGGTCATGAAAAAATTGAACGATCCGTTTTCTGTTTCTTCCTAAAAGTCACAGTCTACTGTTAGTACTCATTGCTAACACACTTTAATTTTGCTGTGAATATTTTGAAAGTTAGACAATTTTCCTTGAAATATAACAAGAAAGAGTGATCGTCGAAGTAAATTAATTCTTTCCAATAGTTTGCTTTCCTCCTAATGGAAAAATATTTTTAAATGGGGTGCCCGATACTTTGGCCAAGACTATAGTTCTTTCGATCTATAAGAAATTCTTTTCCTTTTACATAGAACACATTTGCTTCTTTATTGCAGCTAAATAGAATGTAAGAAAGTGACTATTCTGTTTGAAGATTAGTATAATTTTATACGTAAAACAGACCACCTAATTATCTTCTTTATACATATAGCTGCGGTGGTACGAGAAAATTTTTACGCATAATTTAAATGATTTCCAAGATGAATAAGATGGAAGAAAAATTTTTCTATAAATGCCACTTTTTCTATTCCTTTTCGATGTATATATTTGTTTCTGCTGTATGGTGTAGTAGACATTATTAATGCGACCTTAAGTATACCTTGGACTTCAAAATTTTAAATCAAACGTGAAACTTTCTTTCGTTTTTTTGTTTTGCCATTTCTTTCACCAAAGAAAAATTTATTTCCATCTTATTCACCCTTTGAAACCATTTAAATTACACCACAGCTAGAGAAGGTAATCAGATGGCCTGTTTCACGTGATACACCCTCTGTCATTTACAATACAATACGTAAATTAATACAATTACAACATCGATAATTGAAACATCCTATAGAATGAAAGAATAACATATTTTCGACAAACATTTCATCGGGTAAAAGCTTTTGATTAAAGTAATTTCCAGAATGAAACAAAAGTATTAATTACAACACGGGTTCTTTTGACTTGCAGCGCCGATGGCTTTAAAGTTGGCTTTGATTGGACACGAGCAAGTTTTAGTCCGGATGGCCAGTACATAGCGGTTGGCTCTTCAGACGGATCCGTTTTCATTTGGTCTGTCGCCACGAACATGATTGAAACCGTGCTGAAAAACCATTCGTAAGTAACTTTCTTGTGTTATCAACGTGCATTCATAGTGATAATTAATCACTACTCGGTAATTCAGGTTTAATTGTCACTTTCTTTTTTCACATCACATACGAATTGCTGATAAAGATTAGCTGAATCATTTCTGGGATATTGTATTTTATTTTTTAATTTTGGTCGTTTACACAAATTACTACTTCAAATCCATCGTGAACTTGACAAAGAAATTTATAAATACTGTTTCTGTGTAACATTTCATAATGAGATTGAAACTTTTTTTCTAATCTTGCAAATAAATTTCAAGTAAAGATATTATTATCTTTAATTAATAATTCGTGAAATACACTGATATGTCTTTAGTATAAAATTAAGGGGAAATTTTATAAACCTAGTTGTTTAAGTCGAGGATAATTACAATGAAAGTGTTTTTCAGTGGAATAAAATATTTTTGCACGAACAAAGAGACACTCTGTTACAATAAACTACGAATAATTTAAAACACTTTCACCTGAAAACAGATTTCAGCTATGTATTTAAATTATAAACATTAGCAGCACATTTTGTTTGATAAAATTTTGTCTAATTGCAAAATGTTTCTGCTCGAAATCAAACGTAGTTTGATAACAGAAAAAAATAATTTGCAAATAATATATTAGAAATGATATACTTGTCATAATTTGAGGAAACAAAGGAATAATCATAAAAATTTTCATGTTTCTAAACCAACGAAATATTAAACGTCATAGAAAGTGAAATAATTAAATGATGTAACTACCAAAAAGGTATTTTATCGTTATAAATATTGGTATTCAACATTGGCTGTTTGCCACTCGCATCAATTCAGGCAATCGAAAACAAACCTGTTTGAATAGTATGAATGGTAACCAAACACAGTATTGGAACAACAACAGTTAGCGATTCATGATACCATTTCATACACAACCTAACTACTTACATTAATTTCATTGTGTTTGCTTTAATTGCACTCATTTAGGTCTGCAGTTAATCACGCTAATCGTGTTTCTACGTTATCTTATCCCGCGTCTCATCGATCGTTTTCCATATCAAGTAAAATAATTCAGAACTTTCGAAGATCATTTCGCAGATAACAGAATTCATAAGTTGCATTCTCATTGAAAAATATTGAATTATACCAGCCAACGGTTATTGAATTCTTATCTTAATCGTGATTTATCATTCGATTAATTATTACCATTAGAAACGTTTTATCCAGAGGAAATATTTATTCACTTAAACAATAGCTATTTATAGCATTCGTCTACAGCGATGTATTTTATATCTTACGAGCAGAGAAAATTGCACTCTGCATTTTTCAAACGATTAGAACGTACCGTAACGGTATTAAGCCCTAAGGTATAGTCGATGGAAGAAATATAGCGAGGTCGTAAATTAAAGCATTAAGTGGCGACACCTAGGGTCGAATGCAGCATTTTTCGTTTTTCGATTAGAACTGAATCGAAACTGAGGCATACTTCATGCGACCCTAACTGAGATTTCCCGCTCTTATCTTCTCAGATTTCTGTCGATTCGCCTGAGAATATACTCGACGTGTAAATTTTGTCGTGTGGACGAACTTACGATTTTGCTATATTTCTTCCTTCGACTGTACTAATGATAAAGTCGCTTAGAACTTGACAAATTTTGCATAAAAATTCAAGGCAATTTGTTACTGTTGCGTTAAAATTACTGGCCTATTTCAAAGGTATTACAGTGTTGAATTCAACTTATAAAAATTAAATTAAACACTCCAACTTCTACCAATAATACGCTGAAAAAGGTGCGCTGTCTCTCTGTTCTCTTTAAAAACGTATTAGTATATTTACTAAAAATTCGGGCAATATTAAAATCTATGTTTTTGTGTTAATATTTTAAGGTATAAAAATATACGAATTATACACTTGCCATTTGTTTTAAAATTTTTCTCCGTTAATCGAAGTACTGTGCGACGCGAGAATAATAGCGCACAAATGGATAAGCACGAGAATAATAGGAATATTGATTAATCTTTTACAATAGAGGTCGCTGGAAGATACTAAAAAGCACGTTGTGAAAGCAGGAAGCGCGTAAATCGGCTCCGGGTGTTATTTAAGGGCATTAAGGAATGATCGCGATATTTATTTCATCCTAGACACCATTGTATCGGTATACCGAATCCCGTTACACAATTTGCTGGTAAAATTACCAGCGATCGATCGATCCCACTCGAGCAAGTCTTTAAGGTACAAGCTTTTACGAATTCTAGCTGAATTTCTCTATCGTGCACATATATCTCTACCGTAGAACCGCAACACCGCAGTTAAAATGGATGGGCATTAAAAGCGTGTTAACATCAAATTAAAAGTCGTTTCAACGCGACCGCCTCTATCCTACGTTATTAAAGCACGCAGCTTCCTTTCAGCCGTCTCTAATTTTCTTCTTGTCGTTTTTCTCCTGATGCAGTAACTCTGATCGTCTTAACTTCACCGGCAGAGCCACCAAACCGTTTCATAATTACACCAGACATCTTCGTGTACTTTACATACACACCTATACAACGAACGTGAAAACTTCCCAGTAGAGTGTTACCAAAAGAGAAAATATGACGTGTGCATAAGGCTAGAAGGCACATGGCTCCCATAAACGTAACCTAACTAAAACGGAAAGGTCCAGAAAAATATTTCGGCGCGACCCGATTTCCTTGCACACCAACTTTTCCAGCTATATATCCGCGAACATAACCCGCCCATTCCACGTAGACTCTGTGCATGATATATTTTTATATATATATATTATATGTACATCGGAGATATTGCAAATATACGGTAGCCCTGGATACCAGCAACTTCTTCGAGCTATCGTGTCGGTTCCCGCAATTCAAACTGTCGCTTCGAGTGAAAGGTACTCCGAGTGTACCCTTCGTTTAGAACGTGTTGGTACGCGTGTCAGAAGGTACAATTTTCGTCTCGTTCCCGATCCCTCGTGTATTGTGAAAGAGGTTCGTGTCTTAACGGCTGATGGTTGATAAGATATGCGACGCAATTTGGGGACTTCTAAGTGGAATACGAGATGCGTTCGAGTGACGTAAAAATTAGATATTCGAGTAACATTAAGATTGGGAATGATGAGTAATTTCAATTCGCTAGGAGGAATATGCAACGAAATTACGATATACTAATTATTGGAATATGGGATGTATTCGAGTATTATAAAAATTGAACGCGTTATAACATTTCACAATGTTAAAATTGAAAGAAGCATTATGAATAAGGATAATTGAGTCAATTGTGTCTCAATTTTGTTTTTTCTTCGTAAATGCAGATATAAAGGACATTTCAGAATTGTAAAAGGATATCTTAATTTTACTATAATTCGCTATAAAATTAATACGTCGTTATTCTAACAAATTCCAAAATTTATCGCTTTGAAATTGAAGTAAAATCACCATATCTATCTCTAAGAATGTACCACGTACAGTCCTACAACCTATCGCAACGCTTCTTATTGTCTCGAAGAACTAATGAAGTCATTACACTTTAAAAATATTCCACAAAGAAAATCTCCCTACAGCTAAAATATTAAAAATTTTTCTAGCCGTAATGTCTCGTTTTACAAAAAAACCGTCTCGAACCTCCCGTCTCTCCATCATATCCTCATCCACCATGTTTTTTCTTTTTTCAAAAATCTCAAATAACCTCGATAGAAAATGACAAAACATCTACATAAATCGACGTTCGGGTTATTTTCACCGTAAGACTTTTACGCGGCAGGAAGAACTCTCGACTAAGGACGCGGCGAAAAGAGCACTAAGAGAAAAATGAAAGTAACCTAGCAGCTTCTTTCCCAGTCACCAGACACGGCGATCGTTTTCACTCGAATTTCACGGTGGGATACGTCGCGAGATCCGTTCTACAATTATCCTTTCCTTCCTCGGCCTGTCTTAGTCGTTGACCGCCTCGTCCTCGGCCTCCTCGAGTTTCCCAAGGACGCAGGATCTTCGGTGGTGGTTTCTATGGGAGAGCCCAGCGGGCGGTGGTAGTTCAGCATGCACCTAAGTACCGGTCGTATCGAAAAATAGCTTAAGCACCAGTCATGTAGAAGCTGGTCTAGTGAGTTGATCCTCGTGTGTGAATTTTGCTAGTGTACGAGCACGTTTCACTGTTATTACTTTCACCATGGCCGAGGAAGCGGCGCTCGTGGTCAAGCGTCATCTTTCGTCGTCATCTCTCCAAGTCGTCCTCCTCATCGCCTTCCTTCTCTCTCCACTTCGCTCGTCCCACTCTATCCTCGTCTTCTACCGTGATCGTTGAAGGTACGACGAGGCTGGATCGTGTAATTCATACGTTGCGGCGTGTACCAGCGCGCTCAGGAATCCCCGGGACTAACTTAATAAGCGCCTCGCCCTTTCAACCACCTCTCTCCTCCACACCCAATTCTCTCCCCGCCTGTATCGTCGCCTCTTGCGCTCAACAGATTCTACGATCCTGTATTTAATGCCTCGGCTCTCGAAAGTCGGGATGATACACGTAGACCGGCATCTGCATCCAGGGGCGGTTCTAGCAAGGTGTGCAAGTGCGTGCGCGTTCACGCACAGAGCCAAATTCCTAGGGCGGCCGATAAGTGCAGTTTTTGTGATAAAATGGATGTTCGAGAAGGAAATCGTGGTTAATGTCGCGCGGAACCTGAGGAGAAAGCGAGTGCGGGCGCTGCAGACTAGGAAAAGGGGGAAATTCCGGAAGACTAGGGACAAGCCAGGTCACCGGGCGT